CATCTTCTTCATTTCTCTCAATTGTGAACTCATCAAACCACGGTAGAGTGATGTATTTGATGTATTCAAGGCATGGATTGCCTTGCACAATTTTTGGAGGACAGTAAGCTTTCTTGATATTCTCATTAACTTTCAGCCTGAGGACAACAAGACCCTCAAAACAATTTAATAACTGTAAAAACTCTTGTCTAGTTTTGTAAGCTTAGAAAAATTGGCTAAGTTACAGTTACCTCCTCATCTTCTATAAAGATGACAGATAATGGATCACTTTTGGACATCTTTTCTTGTCCTTGTTGGAGACCAGGAAGCATATCTGCAAGTAGTTACAGCTCAAAGATGATAAACCAGGCTAGACCAGGAAATACATGGCATAATACAAGTCAAATAGACATATTAGAGCGTACGGTGCGACAAGATTATTGGTTTGTTTTTCCTCTTTATGTCATCACAGTATTCCCTCGCTAGCATATTTACTTTTCTTTGATCCATCCCAAGCTGGCAAATATCAGCCTACAGATGTAAAAGAAACAGCAATCACACAACTCATAAGCTAGATAGATACACATTGAGTAAAGATGATCACTATACATCAACAAAAACTGCCAATCATATACGGTCTTATCTAGCATGGATTTTTTATCAGTTTTTTTCCCAACAATATAATAGCTTTTTCGCGCTCAAGCTAAGTTGTCGATTCCAAGTAACTAGCAACAGAATCCAAAGACCGTTGATAAGCAAAAGAAGCCTTAACTATAGAAAAATACATACAGAATACATAATAAAAGTACCTCAAGGAAAAATACATCTGCGCACTGCATGGATGGGTAAAGGATCTGGGCCTGACTCATTTCATCGGTCTCACTAAGTCCCATAATCTCCACACACCTGCAAGGAAAAGAAACAGATTCATTTAGGTCCCATCCTCCCCTGCCTCACGCGAGTGCAATGACCCAAACATTGAAATAAAAAGTAACCTTAAGATTCTAGAGACCGTGTTTTGGCAAGCAATGTCCATCACAAGGTCCAAGTACTCGGCCGCTCTAGCATTAATTTCCTCGGACGCCCACAAAAACTCAACATTGTCTATGTTCATCCCGGCGGCCTTCCATACCTCTTGGAAGTATTCTCCAACCATTCTGATTTTCTTCAAGTCACCGCCCATTTTCTTGTTCATCTTAGCAAACGAATCAGCAATCCAGATTTTCACTCGGCAACCAGCTGAAGTCAATTTGTTCACATTGATAACCTTCATCACTCCCTATTAGGAAACATGAGAACAAAACGGATTAGCCAAAACACTATACGTGATGTGATTCCATCCGGCAACCGTGAGGTTAGGAGCGAGGCACTCGACATGGAGCTACCGCAAGGGCCGGTGACACGCGCAAAGGCGAGGATGCTTACGGAATCGATCGAGAGAATGTTCGAGGCGGCACGAGGAGACAACGCGGACAAGGAGGATCGGGTCGTGACACTTGTTCCAGCCGATCAACAAGATCAAGAAAGTGCCTAAGTGACAAAGCACCTTGTCT